AATACGGCTGATTCCTTTGTGTTCAATGGAAGAAAAAAATTCATACAAAATGTATTTGTATGAATGCACATGAATACAAATTTGTATTAGATAGATATATCAACTTGTATTAGATAGATATATCAACAACTTTGCATGAATAGTTTTATTTATCGTTGCAATGTTGATTGTAGGTCTTTCCCTCACTAAAGCTGTTAAGTACGCAGTCACTTTTTTTTTTTGTCCAATTTTCAAATTTTTTCATTTTTTTGGTTTCAAATAATGTTCATAATTTTGTGATTCATCTTGGTTGGCTTTGTTCATGGTTTATTTGCTTCAATTAAGACTTTTTAAAAGTGTACATGTAAAAAATAATGAAAACAACAACTTTGGAACCAACGCCATGCACTGAAAAAGTGGGCGGGAACTAATGGCACAAATGCACTGTATAATTATTGTTGTTATGATTATAAATAAGATAAATTGCCAATGACTTGATTTGTGTTCCATTGGAGGATTCCTACCAAATATTGATGAAGAATTATTTATATAGCCTAGTATTGATAATAACATGACATAATTTTAAAGTCAGCATGAGAAGGACATTTTAATAGCCTTTTCTTCTCTATTGTGATGCCTGTTCTATGGAGGACCAAGAGTGCCACTTAAAAATAAAATTAAGAATCAATTTATCAATTTAACAATTCAAACATAATGTATAGAAATAAATTACTTTTTAAATGGACAAATTAATACACATATTTAAAGTTGTTTATTTAATTTGTGTTTTTAAATGTAGTTTAATAAACCATAAAAACTAATAAAAAAATATTTTTTGTGTGTATTAAATAGGCTATGTGTATTAATTTGACCATTTAAAAAAGTGATTTATTTATATACATTATGTTTGAATTATTAAATTGATTCTTCATTTTTATTTTTAAGTGGCACTCCTGGGGCTCCATAATGTTCGAGTGAAAGCTTCTCCAACAAGAAAAATGTAGGGCGGGACTTATTTTTGTCCATTGGAAATTGATTGGATCGTTGAGGTTTGCCGCGATCTCATGGGAGTGACAGGTCGTGCCAGTAGACACGTCATCACAGAAGACATGTTGGAAGAGGGCGAGTCGTTTAAAAATAATAATAAAAATAATTATGATGTGCACGGGAAAATCATTTATAAATAAATACTGCAATATTCCATAAAAATAAAAATGATCAATTTTGATTTCATGGTGCCTTTAATTTCTCGGATAACCTATCCATTTAAAAGGCCATTTCAACAGGCTTCAAAAAATGATGATAAGCTGCGTTCAATTAAATTAGTGATATCAAAGCATATCTATTTATGGATTAAACCAAGAAAAGCCTTTAGGATGAGAGACACGCTGTGAGGCGGAAGAAGATGAATTCTGCATGTAAATGCAGGTGATTGTGCCAACACACACACACACACACACACACACACCTGTTAATGCCAGATCCAGTACCTGAGCTGATTTGCCGGCAGGGTTATTTACTCATTCTGGTACTGAGCGTTACACACACACACACACACACACACACACATCCATAGGTAGGGCATAAACTCAATCAGGTTGAGATGAAGTCTGCTGGACTTGCGGCTGGATTCTAATGAAACTGCATTATTTATAGCGCGATCTGACAGGGATGCCTCGGCCATTACACCCATAATGGCTCTTGTGGATATTGATGAATACTTGTCTATATTTGTATTCACGTGGGGAACCAATGTCACATCTCCCCGGTTACCCTGGATACTGGCGTCGGCTAAATGACCCAACGATAACAGATAACAATGGCAGCACTGTTCAAAGAGAGAGTTTTGAGCCCGCGGGAGAGGGGAGCCAGATAAACACCCCCGGGGTGAGGACGAGAGGGGAGAGGGAAAGCGAAGGAGGAGGAGTAAATACACAATTGGTGAAGTAGCATTAGCATTGTTCACACATCCCCAGCCTCATCTCTCCTTCTCCCCTCCTCCCTCTCACGGCCTCTCTTCCCTTCTTGCTGCAGCGTTGCCATGGTGACCAAGAAATGTGGGAATACCTCTGTCCTTCAGAGAGAGGGAGCAAGAGGGAAGTTGGGAACGCGATGCAAGGAGGAAAGCGCGCAGGGGTGAGAAGCGGTCGAGGGGACCGTGAGCGAGAGATGCGAATAGACACGGTAAGTCAAGACAAACGAGACCTGCAGACGGTCCGGGGAGCAGCCGAAGCTGTGGCTCTCAAGCAGAAACCATGACATTTTGAGGAGAGTCATCAGCGTGACTCAAGTAGGACACATTTCCTGAGCCCCCAAAGCGTTGGGTTTATCTCTCCTTCTCACATTTCTCACACTACTTCCTCATGCTATGGCGAGGCTGTCGTTACTATGACGACAGGCGGCCTAAAATAGTTAGCGCTCACCCCCTGCTTTCTCTGTGGCGCTGTTTCTTTCCTCTTAAGATACCTCCCAGCAAACATCCCCACCCAGCCAAATTTCCGCCATACTGCTCACTTTACTGTGGGACGCAATCCGGAGGGGCGCTTTCTCTCTCTTATTCAGCTTCACTTTACTTTTCTCCTCCCTTCATCCCCACTCTCGCTGCAAAGATTGCATTCAGATTCATTTTATTGGCAGCTTGTGTTTCCATGGCAACATCTTAAAACCATGGCAACTATTTGAACTGAGCCAAACGCTCTTTCAAAACTGCTGCATTCATTCCCCCCTCTCTCTCTGAGCGTCTAGTCAGCCAGTGAATGCGTATGCATGCGACTGTGGGTATAAATGAGCATGCCACTTGTTAGCATGTGAACGCTGATGTGAATGCTGGAGTATGCCTACAAACGCATGCAGATTCCACAGGCGCTACAGTCGCGTCCCATGTGATCAAAAGGCATGATCAAACTGGAATTTGACTGAATACCATCAGGTGGGAAATGTGCAGTCATGCCACTGGATGTCAAACAACATAGCTAACAACAACCTATGACAGATCGTACAGGTCAGAGTAGAAATACGGTTTATACACTATATAAACCGTAGTATACCGTATATAGTTTACGGTTAAAAAATGATCAAGAAATATCTAGGCTGCATGGTTTATGCTGGTGGAACAAAACTAGTGTCAAATGACTATTCTGGCCACAGCAGATTGTTGACTGGACATCTGAAATCAGGAAGTAAAGTTCCCACCCTGCTGAAGCCAGCCTGTGCTGGTTTAAGGTGGGTGTAGGCTAACTGGTTTAAATGGATCAATCTGGTGTTCAGCTGGTTTTAGCTGGTTGGTCAACTGGTCTCTGAGACTGACCAGGTAAAGAATCGGTCAAAACCTGAAATGTCCCGGCTGGAAGATCAGCTAAAACCAGCCAACCTGCTTTGGCTGGTCTTGGCGGTGTTTTTCCAACGTGATCTCATGATAATTCGTATGTATTTTACGTAAAATGTGGTTCTATAAAACGTACATTTACTTACGTTTTTACAGGCACTAAAATGTACAATACTGACGTGTTTTCAGCATTTTAACGTACAATACTGACGTATTGACGACACCTAAAAATGAATCCTTATGAATATTGAAATCGCGGCATTAATTGTATTAGTTTTTAGTTGTCATATGAATTAACTTGTTTTCAATTGCATTATTAAATTGTTTACTTATGAAATTATAACATTTCGTTTTGTTGTGATTTCTGCTGCCAGCTCGTTTCCAAGAATATGCCTACGTAATGTTAAACACGACTTCACTTTAAACCTTAAAATAAATAAAATTTCTGCAATGTTTAACCTTTACTTCTCTTGTAATGTTTACTTTGATTGTCATGGGCCACAAAAGGCGTTTTCTCCGACATGCTGTGACTGAAAATATAACTATAAAATACACCAAAAACGCAACATAATTATGAAATGAAACTATTTTATTAGTGCGCTGTAATCCAAATCTTCCGAATCCATACGACTGCGAGGAACAGACCCAAATCCAAGCCTTTTTTTCGTCGATCTTCTTCTCCATCCCGAGCAGCGAGCCCAGTGACCGGGAGCAGCAAAGCCGCGCTGCCTGATGCGCTCTTTACAAATTCAAATGTTGCCGCTTCAAACGACAGGTTTTACGGCAGGATAATCGAACGCTCATTGGCTCTCGCCTGCATTCGTCACAGATTGCGACATGCCGTGTTTCTGGTGAGGTGTGTTTGAATGATGCGCACGCGCCTTCACGAGTTCACGGAGTGGATCATCTTACTAATAAATATGTGGAAAAACAGATGAGCCCAAAATATGAACTTTAGAAGTCGCTGTCTTAATCCAGAAGCGCTTTCTACATTACAGTTTTTCAAGCCGCTCGCTTGAGACAGCAGATCCTTCCTGATAGGGGTCGGCCAGGCCGGCGCTACCAGCAGCTCTGTCAGGTCCGGGAACCAAGTTTTTTTGCCTTTTCTATGTGTAAAAACACCAAGGGAAGGTCGTCGCGGAGAATACGCCGAATAGTAAATCTGTTAATGTCACTGATTAAACCCACTGACTCTCACTCAATAAAAGAATCACATTGCTGTGTGTTTTTGAAAGTTTTGATTTGGTTGGTTTAATAGTTAACATTACCTTCTTTGCGAGCATGACTCTCACTCTCACTAGGCTTGTGAATTAGCAGAACTTGGAACAGAACAGGGGACTTTCTAAAATGCTTTAAGTGGCTTACTGTACCAAGACAGTGATAAAAACAAAATTGTAAAGCATATACTATGTGCAGATATGCATATAAGATCAAAATGTGAACGCAACGCGTTTATTTACACGTTAAGCATTTCCCTTTCATATAAAGAACGCGCTTAATGCACCGAGACCGTGATATTTAAAGACCACATTCTGTACACACATCTTACTAATAAATATGTGGAAAAACAGATGAGCCCAAAATATGGTTCTAAAAATCTAAATTGCGTATTAATAAAATGATAAAAATGCATATTCGCTATAAAATGGGTAGGTTTAGATTTGGGGGTAGGTTAAGGGTTCTAAAAATCTAAATTGCGTATTAATAAAATGATAAAAATGCATATTCGCTATAAAATGGGTAGGTTTAGATTTGGGGGTAGGTTAAGGGTTCTAAAAATCTAAATTGCGTATTAATAAAATGATAAAAATGCATATTCGCTATAAAATGGGTAGGTTTAGATTTGGGGGTAGGTTAAGGGTTCTAAAAATCTAAATCGCTTATTGATAAAATGATAAAAAAAATGCATTGATATGAATATCTAAATTATATAAAATATACGTAAACATTTTTTTGTTCGTTTTAAACGTGGAAATACGTCTAAATTGAACGTTTTAGCATGATTAAAAACGTACAAAAGTGTACGTTTTGTGCTTGTAAATGTTACGTATTAATACCTACGTATAAACAAGACCAGGCTGATTTTTCAGCAGGGCATGTTTGGGTGTAATCACTGAATGATCCAGGTCCATTTGATGTTTAAACAGTTACCATGTTAAAGGTGTATACCATTTACCAGGGCAATCAATACAATAAACAAGCAATCGATACTGTATTATTTTTTTTTACATTATATACACTTTTTTCACATCAAGTCACATCAAAATTAAAAATAAATAAGTCAAAAACAGCAACTACAATGATATTTGTGACAAACATTTTTATTATTATTATAGAGTGCATATTTTGCAATAAACTAAAAGCATTGTTTCTATAGAATCAACAACTTTAAATGAATTGGTTTATATTTCACCAGCATTTTTTATTTTATGGTCATACGCTTCATGGGATTCTAGTACTTTCCCTCACTTAAGTTCGTAATGTTCACCTTGTAGTTGGTTGATTTTGGAATGAAACCCACTAGTATTTTCTGTTTCAAACTTTCACATAGCATCTTTAGGTTATACTAACATTAAAAATTCAAATCCAGATTTAGATTTTCAAAGATTTATTTTTTTTTAAAATGATAATTTTTTCCCCAAAATGCAATAAATCCATTGAATCAATATAAAAGTTATTTTTCATATTGAAACTGTTGAAAATACACAAAGTAAGTTGATCCCCATATGACAGCCTCTGAACTTGGTCAATTCTAATCTTATTAATAGCTTACGTTTCTTCGCCACCGCAGAAACCACCATCAATGCCGTCAAAATTATTAATTTTTTTAGGGCTGCAAGATAAATTGCATGCGATTGTCATGCGCATCTCGTCAGTAAAGCCGGTTCTGTTATTAGTAGTAAATCTCCATCACGTGCTTTCAGATGGAGCGGGATTTAATGCACAGAGCCATAAATCACTGACAAGCTACGCAATATCGCTTTTATACTCGAAGGCGGTTCATCATATATATACAAATATTTAAGCATTTTGAAAGTGTAGGTATCGTTTGTGGTGTTGCATGGGAGAAGGCAGTTCCCACAAGCTCTTTTGGTGTGATTTACTGGCTGCAACGCTTTGATGAGGATTTTCTGCACCGTATCATGGGTAATGTAGCTTTTCATCATGATTATTTAAAAAAAAAAAAAAAATTTTAAATAATGTGAACAGTTCGGTCTTTAAAGGTTTAAAAGTTAAAAATTAT